TAATGATTGAAACCATTTCATGCTTTTTTGTTCTCCTTGTCAACTCTATTTTTTTATTTTTCACTTGTAATTGGCTGAGGTACTTAAACAATACATCAGATGTTATTCGCTGATAAGAAAACAACTTCTCCAGGTCAGGTGTGTATTTCAGGATGACGTCTATTGCCGCTGGAAACAAGAAGAAAATTTTCAAAATCACATTCCAGTTATTTAAGATAAAGTAGGGATTAAGTTTATCTTCTGCGTGAAAATTAAAACAGCATGGTTTTATAAAAATAAAAATAAAAAGGATGGAGAAAGAAGTAGGAGGAAGAGAAGGAAAAAGAGGAGGATGGGGGAAGGCAAGTGAACGGGGAGGATTAGGAAGAGTAAGAGGAGGAGGAAGAGTTGGAATGATTAGGAGGAGAGAGAGGAGAAAGAAAGAAGAAAAGAGGAGGGAGACGGGGAGGAAAAGGAAGGAGGAGATGAGAGGAGGAAGAAGAAAAAGAGGAGGAGGAGGAAGTAGAAGTAGTAGTAGAAGAAGGAGGGGGAGGAAGAAGGGGATAAAGAGAAAGAAAAAGAAGATGGAGAAGTAGAAGAAATAGGAGAATATGAGGAGGTGCTTGTGCTGGTGGAGAAGAAAAAGGGGGAGGAGGAAAAGGAGAAGGGGGAGAAGGTGCTGGTGAAGCAGAAGGAGGAGGAGGAGAAGAAAGTGGAGCAGGAGGAGGAGACACAATGACAAAAAGGACACAAATACCTATCTCTGAAGTCACTTCAACCTTGCCCTTCGTCGCAGTTGATACAGTAGCTTTCAGCGCATCTGCGTCTAGGATCCGCAAGAGCCTCCGCACTTGGGACGCATGTTTCGATTTGTCAAGCATGATGATCGCAACTGATCACTCCTGAAATGGTTTATTAGATTGGTAAAAAGGGAAAAGAAAAAGAAGAAAAAATATGTACATATATGTGTTTGTGTGTATAAAGGAGGAGGGAGAGAGAGAGAAAGAGAGATTACTATTGACATTCATTTTATATTAGTCAAGACCAGCGTAAAAAAGGAAAATGATAATTCCTTAAACACCAGATCTTTCCGACAGGATGATCGATTGGGTAATCGATCCTCTAGGACTGTGGTTCGCAACCTTTTTCATTCAATATATGATAATCTCCGTGGCCATGTTCAATAGGTACTGTAGGTGAGATAGAATTCAGTTTAATTCAACGTCAAAGTTATTACATTGCTCCATTGCTCCCAAAGTGTTTCACCTGGATTACTTGATGGAAGAATAAGCCTAGAAGTTCTCTATGGCCAATTCCGACCGATCTCCGGCACTCCGCAACCTGTAGCTCAATAGGATTCCTTCAGGCAGTCCATTGGCAAGCACTCAGGGTCAAGGCAAAGTTCAACCTTGCATATGTTGGAAGCCACAGATGTATGTTGTGGGCTTGACTGATTGGTGATTGGGATTTGCACTGAGCCTTGGTGTGCAAGACTCAGATTCTGTTGAGAAAGGTCAAGGAACAGAAGGTCAGGAGTCCTGCTGAGGATCTAGTCCTGCCTACCAAGCCAGGTGAAAGCCGAACTCCAAGCCCTCTTCACAGATGACTGCACCCTTCTCATTGGATGGGCGGATTATCTGCTATCAGGTTGGGGTTCATGGTCGTTGGGCTGAGGATTTTAAACAGCTGTATCAGATCGACCCTCCAGCAGTTAGTTTAGGTGCAAGTGGTATTGCAATCCCTGTGCCAGACCCATCCATCGAAGAACCTCCTTCTCAGACAGGTTAGGTCTCCCGCCCCTCTAAGCTGAGCATGTATGGTGTCCCTACTGGAAAGCTAAAGGCTCGTGGTGAATCTTCGGCATAGAGCTTGCATGCTGCCATCCGGATTGATGGGACTGCATCAGCTATGGTAGCATCATACTGCTCAGTATACCGGACACAAACTGGATTCACTCCTAGTAAATCAACAACAGACTGCATCCTTGTTCTTCGTATCATTGTGGAAAGCCATTGTGTTTGATCATGGACTGCTTGCAGCTTCAAACCTTAAGGAAGCTTGTGGATCGTGAAATGTTATGTGAGATCCTAAGGGAAATTCCAATAAGAATTACTGAATTAATAACAAACCTGTATACTGGTGCTGAGAGTGCTCCAAAGTGCAGCGGAGGGTTGTTCAGCCGTTTCACTCTTAATTCAGGAATGAGCCAAGGCTTTTCAAGACTTGCATGGACTGGATAATCGGTAGAGCTACTATCCAGTCACCGTGGAGCAACAAGTATCTGGAAACTAGTGGGGAATTTTGATACATTTGGCAATAAGGCGAAGTCCTTAGGTCTACAGGTCTCTTGGATCAAGAACAAGATCCAGGATTTGGGTGTCTGCAAGAACTTGTTCAGTTGGGACATGCTTATAGCGAGGATAATGAAGTCACAGAGAGCTTACATCTCTTGCTAGTGCAGTTCATGACAGGGATATTGGACCAACAAGTCAGTAGACTTATTGGTTTGGTAGCTGGTGATATGACCTCAGTTAATATTTAGAGTATTTAGAGGCACCGGAACCAATGCAGGAAAACCTTTTACACGTATATATATATATATATATATATATATATATATATATATATATAATATATTTATATACATATATATATTTATATACATATATATATATATATACATATATATATATATATATATATACATATATTATATAATATATATATATATATATATACATATACATATACATAACACACACAACACATACTATATATATATATATAATATATATATATATATATATATATATATATTATATATATATATTAATATATATAATATATATATATATATATATATATATATATATATATATATATATGTGTGTGTGTGTGTGTATGTACATGCATATATATATATATATATATATATATATATATATATATATATATATTTATTATGTGTGTGTGTGTGTGGTGTGTGTGTGTGTGTTGTGTGTGTGTGGTGTGTGTGTGTGTGGTTTGATAGAGATGGAGGGTGACAGGGAGATGCAAATATATTAGGAGTTATATATGATATATAGTAAAAGAGGTGGATATAGTAATATTCGTGTATATGAGATAGGAGTGAGTAGGAGTGTAATAGGTTAGGGGAAAGGGTGAGGAGGAGGTAATGAGTAGGGTAAGTGATGTGTGAGGTGTGAACTTTGCAATATAGATATAGTAGGTATAGGGAAGGTATAATATAGAGGTGTAGTATAGTGGTTGATAGGTTAGTGATAATATCATAGTAGGATGTGATAGTAGATGATGATGTACAGTACACATGAGTGAATAGGGTAAGTCATGGTTTTATTGGTGGTTATTGAAGTGAAGACTGAAGGGTATAACAGGAGCGATATATGACTTGTCAGTATTGTGTTGTTACGTGGGTACTAATAGAATGAGACAACAGCAGCGAGTGGATAAAATAGGCAGAATATTTAACATAATATTTTAATGGTGTAGTTGTTGTTACAGCTAGTAAATTATAGTTATTAGTACTGGTACAGATATCATAACAAAAAATATCGAGGTGGATGTGCGATATGTATCATTATTTGGATCGCTTATTTCGTTATCTTACAGAAGATGAACGGAGTCACAGGAACGACTCCGCGGATGTTGGCTAGTACTGAGAGTTTTTCGATGCAGTATGCACAGGATAATATGTGGAGCTTTAGTGGCGCACTGTACAGCGTGAGTCATAAGGAGTGTTTCGGATACTGATGCAGATTGTAGGTTGATAGGAGTGGATTAAAGAGAATGGAATGTTTCTGTGCTATACAAGACGGTGAAATGGACGTTCCATATTTTTGGTGGCATTAATTTATTTCTCTACAGATGCTGAAGTTTGTAGTTTGCGTCTGTTCTGAGCCGGACGCACGGTTGAATGGGTTGGTGGAGAGTGGGCGAGGAAATTAGTACGCATGTGAAATGTTGTGAGGAGGAGGAGTTGGATATGAGGATGCAAAATGCACGAAATATAGAGATAGGAGGGAATCAGTATATATGGCACAGAATGTGTAGATTAACAAAGAGTGAAGGGTGAGTGAGGATTTTTTTCTTATAAATGGCAGCCCACTTTAGCAAGAATTAGGCCATTTTGTTTAAAATTGAGGGAGGCCCGACCCCCTTGGAATATTCATGTTAATGTACTAAGGACTTGCTATTCGCAAAATAAGTGCATATCAGTCTCATTATCTGATATATATACCATTTATCTTTCTATCTATCCGGTAGATATTTATTTTGCTCACATCTCTCTTTGATAAATGCCACTTTCGTTGTTTACAAACACTCACTTCACATTATTAATTTTGACAGAAGAATCGTATTTTTCTTCATGAATTGATACCCCACGTCATGCAACGAAGTCTTGTACAGATGGTGCCCTGCTCTAAAGTTCTGAACAGCATGCACCCTTTACCATTCTCACACTTTCAGACAAACATTCGTTCGTTCCATCTTCTAACATAAATAAACGGGATTTATCTACATGTAGGAGACTAGGTCAGAAAGGAGCAAGCTAGATTACGAGTCATATTCGGACTAATTTTCAAAGGGGATGTAAATGTGGGAGAGGGAGAGTTGTCGTGGGATGATGGGGGGTTGGGTTGAGTGGAGGGAGGAAGTGATAGGAGTTGAAGTGGGAGGTAATAGTTGCGCGGTTGGGCGGAAGAGGGGTGCGAGCTAATAGGGTTCGTAGGTTATTGGTAGAATCTTGTTTTGCTGTTTAATTACATATGAATTGTTTCATTTTACACTGCATTATTACTGCTGCATTGGACGGTGATTAGGTGAATAGGGTAGTAGCAACTGCAGGTGTTCGGAGGAGCATGTGAATAGGCGAATTGCAAGATTGATGTGTAAATGGGTCGTGGTCATTGCTCGTCACTTTTGGTGCCTTTGCAGGCAAATTCATTCTGAGCAGGAAAAATACATAGTAGAGTCTAGAAAGAGAAAAGACGGAGAAGAGATAGGAGTGTAAGAGGATAGATTGGATTAATGAATACGAGATGGTTGGTGATAGTCAGGGTTGTGTACTGAATAGGAGGGTGTCCGGTTTCCGTGCGTCTCTCTCTCTTCTATCGGGCCTGGTGGAGAAGGTCGGGAAGAGGGAAGGGAAAGCAGAAGGAAGTGAGAAGTAGGAGAGAATGGCAAGTAGGTAACGTGTGTGGAGGCTATTCATATCAGATCGTTTTTTTGAGCTCTTAATGGGTGAATGAATAATGCAGTAGTCATTGAGCATGAATCCAGACGCGAACAGGCAGAACGAGGATCTTACTAGAGAGGTGTACGAATGCCTATAGGAAGGTGATGATGGCTTTTCTCTCTTTCTAGTCTTTCTTTCTTTCTTTTTTTCTTGGGCTTCAATACGCTTCTTGTCTTCTTTCTTTACGTTGTCTTTACTTTCTTTTTCTTCTATTCGTGTTGTCTTTTTCTATTTGTATATATTATATATATATATATATATATAATATTATAATCTTTTTTTTCTTTGTGGGAAGGGGCGATGAGAAGTGTGGCTATAGAGTGAAGAGAGGCAGATGGGAAGATAAAAGGAAATTGGAAATCGAAAAGGTGTGTATAGGTGGGAGGACATGGAGAATTGATAATATGTATTTAAGTATAATTGAATTGATGTTCATTGGAATTCGCTTGGTATCATGTGAATGAAGTCTCTACGTTGATAATTATAGCAATGAGTTATATATATTGAATTATGGATTATATATATGGAATTTATATATTTATTTAGCGGTAATCACGGTTGATTTCCGCGCTCTCATCGCGCTCGCTTAGCCAAGCAGCTTGACATCAGATCATGAGGTCGGTTCTGATGACCAAAGTCTATCATGTACAGCGCTATCAATCTGATAATTCTTTTTCAGCTGAACTCGTCTACAGCTAAAATGAGTTTTCGCTGATTATTAGTTATAGGTTAAAAGATAGGTTTTTGGTTTTCACGGCTCTAAACTCAGGTTAATATGAAAGAATGAGGTGATGATATAGCGTGCAGCTGGAACATTGAGAAAAAGGGACTCATCTGGAGCTGCTAGAGGGGACACACGCGACTAGTCTCAAGAATGATTCGGGAGATTAAGAGCAGGATAAATGGAAGAAAGAAGTTAGGATCTGCTGGAGACTGGAGGCACAGCGACTAGACGAGAAGGAGGGAGGGGTGAGAAGAAAGTGGAAGAAGAAGTAGTGGAATGATGTAGACTACTATTACGGACTGGATGACAGGTGACACAGGCGAATAGGAAGTAAGTATATGACATGAAAGTAAATATAGAAGGATTCAGTATATTGCAGTGTATTCAAGTAATAAAAGATGTTTGAATTGAGGGGAAAATCAAAGCTATATGGAGAATGACTTCATACCGAAGATATAGATATGAAGGAGAGTCTAGCTTAGATGATGGGTCTACGTGACTGTTACGCGGCGTGTGTCGATCAGGGGCATTGCGAATATGTGATTAGATAGTGCATAATTTATCAAAGGGATGAGATAGCGGCTTGGATAAGGGTTGAGTGCTGACTTGAAGTAAGTGAAGACACTTGGAAGAGTAAGATACTTTTTTGCGACGTATAGATAAGATAACGAAGGTGATAGGTAATGTTGCACGCACAGACAGTGGATACAGGATGCGGATGGGACGAACTGCTGGAATGCGATATCGACCAGTGGATAGATATTTCGAGAATTGAAGATTTGTTGTGGAGACGTTTCATATGCTAAATTTATTAGAAATATGAAGGTTTTGTAAGAAGGTGAGTAACGGGGAGTATAAAGGCAATAATACAGAGAGGGAAGGGCCATAAATTTAGGGCGGACAAGGCTTAGAAAGCGATCTCGGGGATTTGAAAGTTATTGAAGGCTAGATGGGAGAGAGATCAGGGAGCGGGTGGATGTGAGTAAGTGTTGGAGACGAGGAGTCGTGGAATGAGCTTCTGTTGGCGAGCTCTTGATGCACAAATCGATGCGGTGAAATTGCGTTTGATGGCGTGTCTATAGTTACGGAGTAGTGGAGTGCTCAAAGAAGTTGAAAGTGTGGGAAGAAAAGGGAAAAAAGAGGCAAAGTGGCAGGGTCAAGCGGTGACATGGAAGACGGGTGTTTCATGTAAAATATGAACACCTCCGATACTAGGGAGTGTACTCTTCTATACCGCTCGCTCTTTGAATACTGCCATAAGAAAGGCGTGTGCGAGCAACAAAATAAACAGGTAGGACTGAGACATCCTGGCAATGAAGATTAAAATTGCTTGTTTAGATAATGTAGAGAGAAAATAACAGATGGTAATATATAGATATTTATCATTTGGTTCTTTGGAAACTTCTTACGCAATGATCAAGACCAATTACCACGTCATCAATTGAATTGGCTGCACTTTGTTACACACTATTTCATCGATAAATACTGAACTTTACAAAACAATTTTCAAATACTAGACTGGCAGTAAGACTGTTGAAAG